TCTGACCGAGCTTAAGTGGCAGTCACCAACTTAAACTCTGATTGCTACAAGTTAGAAGTTAAGGATTTGTGGGCAAGTGTAAATCTTGATTTCTTTAAATCTCCTTCAGTATCATTCTTCAGAAATATAACATCTTTAAATTTGTTACTCTAACTTAAAGAAAAAAATTATGATCACTGAAAGGAAGAACATGGTAATCTGTCCATTAACCTTAGTGATGAAGCACAAAGATAGGAAATCTGAGTGATAAGATTAGTACTTTATAACAAAGACATAATCACTGTTTTGTTAGCAAGGATTTAGGATCTTACTTTAATTGCAGCCAAAGTCCTTCAGGAGGGCTTAGTTTATGGTGAGAAAGTTCCAGTATCACATAATAAATGCATTATAATTGCATGATGAATTAGACTACAATCAAATATTCAATAATAACACATGTTTTCACCTTCCACAATTCAGAGGCCCTTAAGAATCTCATGGGTCCTGAGGTTAGGCTTAAGAAACTTTACCTTGAACCATGAAAATCCTGACATATGAACATATGGAAAGTTGAACTTTCTGTTTATTTGGATATAATGATAGACTTATCATAACTCACAAAAAAATAATTAAGAGGTAGTATTTAGATATCTGGCTCGCTTTTTCCATTTTCCAAGAAATAAGAATGTAGCTACCTTTGAAGTTCCTTTGTTCTTTTTCATTATTACTAGTATGTAGTAATGTTTTGCAGTCCCGCATGGGAGACCAGGAGAAGCACCTGGCTCCTGGCTTCGGATCAGCACGGTACGCCGGCCGCAGCGGCCATTGGGGAGTGAACCAACGGAAAAAGGAAGACCTTTCTTTCTGTCTCTCTCTCTCACTGTCCACTCTGCCTGTAAAAAAAAAAAATAATGTTTTGCAGTGAGAACTGTAATAATATTTGAGTCTTTCCAAATGATTTTTTACCCACCAAAGTCTTTTACATCCTGGCACATATGGGAGATGATCCTGTATGAATGATACCTGGAAAAATGCAGAAGTCTGCTGGAACTCAGGCCTCCCAGTATCCCATGCCAACAGTTCTAGGGTGAAAGAGGGCTTTGTGTATCTCTGCTTACCCTGAAGCCATCTACGGTACCTGGTAGGGAAGCTGTGGAAATGGCTGGTTTTGAGTCTCCTCACCTGTGGTCTACCATCATAAACGTGTTCTTCCAGCATTCTCACCATCCCGGAACACAATCTGTTGGGTGATACAGAGACTCCATGACTAGAAAGGAGATGAGCAGCCTCATGGAAAGGGGGAGCCAGTATCCATTCCTGTGTGGAGTGAGCAGAAACGTTTGTAGGCAACGGCAGCTGTTGTCCTCAGGAAATTTTGCTGACAGTATGAGAGTGGAGCATGATGTCACAGGAACCCTGGCTTGGCCAGCACAGCATGGCATCCAAGGCAGCTGATCTGTTCATCCAGATTGAAAAGATTTCTTCTCCTGCTGCTCTCTCACCCTCCCCTTCTCCTGCCAGTTTGAGTGATAATTGTAAAGCCAAGCAGTTCCTTTCAGAAGGAGGCCATGGGAGCCAAGCCTGGGTGTTTTCACTGCTGGCATGTTGCAATTATCGCCAAGGATGGCTCTGATGACAGCATAATACATGTGGTGTTTTGTGCTAAAAAAGTCAATGCCAATGGCTGAAAGAGCAAAACTTCCAGAGATCCGAGAACAATTTGCCAATGACATAGGATCTGGGTGGACCCCATGCCTACTCACCTTTCTTTGCCCTCAAGATTATTCGTAAAAAATAATGCACTGACCCAGTCCTTGGTAAGCCATGAAAATGGAAAATTCTTATCTGTTCAGGAACTCTTTTGCTCTTAACAGAGTGGCAAAGAGATACTTTATAAGGTGGCTGTGAGTTTGAATTTATCTGAACCCAAGATAAAACATGTGAGCTTCATAATAGATCATTAAGAAAATTAGAATCCTATAATTGGTTCTGTGACTTTAGGAATTTTAATTAACTCCTCTGATTTTCATGTGAAAAAAAACTGTTTTACCTGCTTCACTAGCCTCTTAGAATCACATGACCAAACAAACCCAAGTAAAACACTTAGCACAAAGCTTGACCCAATGTAAATACCACATTTATTAAACAGCAATTGTTGCTATTGCTATATTTATAGTTATTATTATACATACCACCATATTTATAGGAAGGAAATTCTTAGAATAAAAGTATTGTATATGCTTGCTAAATTCTCTGCTGTATAAGGATACTTCAAATCATTTATGGGGGAAAAGTAAAAAAAATATTTTAGTGCAAAATATTTTGAAATGCATGCATAGTTTGTTCACAATATACATTTCCATGACATTTTGAAGATCTCTCATATGCTTGGATTTTGAAAATTTGTTGCACCAAAATAAACTTATCTTTTAATTCCATTTTCCATGAACTTTTGAAGTGCACTCATATTGTACATATTGTATTAGTTCATATCATATGCTTGCTAAATTCTTTTTAGTACTGACCAAGCCTAATGACTATTACACAGATCATTAGAATCACTATACCTCTGTAACCCACTGTAACCCACTGCTGTAACCTCTCCAGAAGTCTTGGGGCTGGTGTTGTGGTGTAGTGGGTTAAGTCTTTGTCTACAAAATTGGCATCCCATATGGGCACCGATTGGATGCTCAGTTGTTCCACTTCCAATCCAATTTTCTGCTACTGCACCTAGGAAAGCAGCAAAGTGTTTTGGCCCCTGTACCCATGTAGGAGATTAGAAGAATCTCCTGGCTTCTGGCTTCAGCCTGGCCCAGACTTGGCTGTTGCAACCATTTGGGGAGTGAACCAGCAGATGGAAAATCTCTAGTTCTCCCTCTCTCCCTCTGTAACTCTTTCAAATAAAAATAAAATAAATCTTTTTTAAAAAGATTTAATATGTGCTACTGATAAGTTTAAACAAATTATTCTAACATAAAGAGGAACATACAAGTTCCTGAAGTTCTCTACAGTTTGAAGATACCAAGAAGATTTTCTTTTATCAGAAAAACTTTTTTAAAATTAATATAACATACAGTATTTAATAGTAATATGTTTACACAAAAGACACCAAAAGTAATATGTTTACACCTTTTATATTGTTGAGCCATTTAAAATAAGTTAACTTGTCATATTATGTGACAATTTTTATTTATTTAATCATGAATTGCCAACCCAAAGAAGACTTTTCCTTATTCATTATTCAACATTAAGTAGCTGCTTTTCACTTAATGGAAGTTACTAATTTATAAAATGCTTTTACCTTAAGTCAACTGGAGACAAAGCCCAATTTCAGAAGTAGATTTTTGAAGATAAGCAAAACTTAATGCTGGAAAATATTTAAGTCATTACTGTTTATTCAAAAGCTTATTAACACTTTATTATAAGCTACTGTTGAGAAGAAAAAATATCTTCTTCACAGTCATATTCAACCATTCAGCTTTCATTAAATAGCCAAATTTCTACTACAAAACTGACAATAACTAAAGACCTTGAGGGGCCAGCACTGTGGCGAAGTGGGTAAAGCCGCCGCCTGCAGTGTTGGCATCCCATATGGGCACCGGTTCGAGTGCCGGCTACTCCACTTCCAATCCAGCTCCCTGCTATGGCCCGGGAAAGCAATAGAAGATGGCCCAAGTCCTTGGGCCTCTGCACCCCTGTGGGAGACCCAGAGGAAGCTCCTGGTTCCTGAATTCAGATCAGCACAGCTCTGGCCGTTGCAGAGTGAACCAGCGGGTAGAAGACCTTTCTCTCTCTCTGCCTCTCCTTCTCTGTGTAATTCTGACTTTCAAATAAATAAATATTTTTTTAAAAAAAGACCTTGATGTGCTAACTATTATAAAAGGCAGATTCAAAGTTTATTTAGAAATGTTTATTTAGAAATCACAGGACAACAGTTCTTCAGTTACAACCCAGAACATCCAATCAGGGAGGAGCATGCAACTCCAGGGCAATGAAATGCCATCCAGTATGTTTGCTGAAAACTGGGAAAAGAAAAGCCTTTGATCCTTTGGAGATGTGACTATTCAGGTGTAAGCTCAGAGACCGGGGGGCTATCTTGCTGCTAAAAAAGAAAAGTTGAAGCCAATAGTGAGGAAAAAAGCACTCATACATGGAGAGAGAAATAGTCCTAATGACGTCACTTGAGTGTTTGGATGGAGCCACATCTGAAGGTAGAGGACATCTATCCTTGGACATTTCAGTTAATTCAGCCAATAAAGCGGCTACTGTCACTTGCCTGGGAAAAGTTCTGATTTATACAGTCATTGAAAAAAAATACACTATGTAGTTCTCACCCCAGGAATTAGCTGGAGTATTTCTTTGTATAAAAGCACTCTGAAGGGGCCAGTGCTGTGGCGCAGCAGGTTAAAGCCCTGGCCTGAAGCGCCAGCATCCCATATGGGCACAAGTTCGAGACCCGGCTGAACCACTTCTTGTCCAACTCCCTGCTATGGCCTGGGAAAGCAGTGGAAGATGGCCCAAGTCCTTGGGCTCCTGCACCCACATGGGAGACCTGGAAGAAGCTTCTGGATCCTGGCTTCAGATCGGCGCGGCTCCAGCCATTGCGGCCAATTGGGAAGTGAACCAGCAGACGGAAGACCTCTCTCTCTCTGCCTCTCCTCTCTCTGTGTAACTCTGGCTTTCAAATAAATAAATAAATCTTAAAAAAAAAAAGTACTCTGAAATCCAAATCTTTCTGTTAAACATGAAAGTAATTTGACATCCCTTCCTGCTTCATGGCATTTGTACTCTATCTTGGTCAAGTGAGCAATATTGGGAAGGCAGTAAAGGCTGGGCCCTGGAGTCGTGTCTGAGTTGGACTGTTCCTCATTTTGCAGCTGAGGAGACTAAGAAACAAAGAGGGAAAGTAGTTTATGCGAATTTGGACAGCTAGTATGTGATAGAGCCAGAATACTTATTGCAGATGTTAAGTTCCTTATTGCTGTGCAAAATTGCTTTCATCTTGCCCCAAATCTGCTCAGGTTGTTGCTACTGATTACTGACTCCAATTCAAGTTCAAAACATTCTGAAGCAGTGATTTTTGAAGGAGTTGGATCCAAATGTTGAAGGATGAATAGAACACAGGCTCTTCTCTACAGGAGTTCATCATATAATTGGGAGTGGAGTTGTGCGAGAAGAAACGAGTGTTATTTTGGAAAACTTATGGTGACTTTTGTAAGTCTTGGGTTCCTCATCTCTAAAATGGTTTTAATCTATTTCCAGGTTTTTGTAAGAGTTTAAACAGACCATTATGAAAAGCACTGAGCAAGTTGCCTGGGAATCATCACCATTATCAATATCATTGCCAGCAATGCCTATACAAATGGGCAGACTGTGGTCCAAACTTTACAGATACTCATGATATTTAGTTTTTCTTAATTATCTTGTTTTCTGAACATGTTTTCTTCATGTTTAAATAAAACAAGTAAAAAATAAGAAAAACAGGGGGCCGGTGCTGTGGTGCAGGAGGTTAATCCTCCGCCTGCGGTGCCAGCATCCCATATGGGCGCCAATTCTAGTCCCAGCTGCTCCTCTTCCAATCCAGCTCTCTGCTGTGGCCTGGGAAAGCAGTAGAAGATGGCCCAAGTCCTTGGGCCCCTGCACCCGTATGGGAGACCAGGAAGAAGATCCTGGCTCCTGGCTCCAGCTGTTGGTGGCCAAATGGGGAGTGAACCAACGGAATGAAGACCTTTCTCTCTGTTTCTCCCTCTCACTGTCTGTAATTCTGCCTCTCAAATAAATAAATAAAATCTTTTTAAAAAATAATAAAAAGAAAAAATAGAAAAATAAAATGAAAAATCTGCAACCTGAGAAGTTCTGCTTATTAGTGCTTCTTAAACAGCAAACAAAACGGCCCAGGAAGAACTTTGAAAGCAAAGACTGAAGAGAACTGCTCATTAGAGTTCATCTCTCCTCAGAGCCCTAAATCCTTGAAGTGGGTGAGTCACATTGAGATCTGAGAAAAGTAGGGACGTTTCAGTGCAGAAGAGCTTTTTATCAACTGAAGACCAACTCCACTGCCTCATGCAATTCTTTCTAGGCAAAGAGTTCACTCGGTCTTCACCTGCCCCAAATATGCCTAAGTGGTCATTTTTCGGCTCTAATTTTTTCCATTTCAGTGAAATGGTCTATACTGGGGTTCAACTGTAGTTCTATCCCTCTGCTTCATTTTCCACCTCATGATCACAGTCACCCAATCTCCTCTGAATGGCATGTTCACGAAAAGACTCCCTCACAGCGGGGTGCATGTCTTCCTCCTTCTCATCCTTCCTACCTCCACTTGATAGCAGAAGAGAAAGGGGCAGTACCCCACTTGGTACCCCACTTGATAGCAGAAGAGAAAGGGGCAGTACCTTGGTACCCCACTTGTCATAGGTGGAAGCATTTCTGGTGAGTGCTACTTAGAACCAGTGCTCTGCCTGGAAGTCAAAGTGTGAATAAAGAACACCCTTGTTCCTATTGGGTGAAGCAGAAAGAAGGAACCACTTTAGTTGTGATGTGAGGCATCTATTGGGAAGATTGATAGAAAAGGGGGGGGGCTACATGTTTTTAGGGAGTGGCATTTTTCTCTTCCCTCTTCTATCCACCAAAGATTCACAGTTGGTTTCTGGTTGTCCACTCTGTGGTGGAACAAAATCGCAATTCCTCTAAAAATAACATCAAGAACAAGGAGCATACAGTCTTGAAACTGGTGCCAATGTGTTAAAGGCTTGATCCTCAGAGTCTTACATTAATGTATTGGCATGGAACTTAATCCAATTATGATGCTTGAAGGTGGTGACTTGTAATGTGAATAAATGGGGTTAGTTCATCATGATGGAGCCCACATGACTGATTCATGGTGGCTTTATAAGGAGACCACACATAGATGGAGCTGGTGAATGTGCTCCCTGTATCTCTGCTCCATGGTTCACCATGTGATCTTTTCTCTGCATGAATTCTGCCATGCACCACCTTCATTATTTGTCAGACCAGTGAGGTCACTTAATCTTGGACTGTGAATTTCAAGAACTGTGAATGGAAATAAATATTTCCTTCTAATGTTTATTTAGTTGAAAGCACGAGCAACAGACACACAAAGTGACCCACCTGCTAGTTCACTCCTCAAATGCCCACAAAAGCCAGGGCCTGGACCATACTGAAATCAGGAGCCAGGAATTCCATAGAGTTCTCTCACATGAGTGGCAGATACCCAAGTACTTGAGCCATCGTCTGCCGTTTCCCAAGGTGCATATTAGCAGAAAGCTCAATCAGAAGCAGAAGCAGTACTCAAACTCTAATAGACAGACTGACTTATACTATGGTTTCCCTGCTTTTCTAGTTCATATATCGCAGGAAAATGTCCTGCTTGCCAAGATGAAATAGTTTCAAAATTTACAAGTATTTCATTAGTAAGAATAAACAAGATAAGTAAAATGGCCTTTCTGAGGACTGTGTACCTTAGAATAAAACTTAACAGTTTTCATATTTATCATCTCTTGTTATTTTTCATATTTTTAGTAATATAAGGATAAGAATAAAAAATTTTAGAAGATTTATTACTAATTTTTATTGTGAAGTTTTATATTCATATTCTCATTTCCAAAAATAAATCAGGTAATACAAAAAGTTATATAAGATCATGCAAATAATTCTACCCATCATTGCTGAAATTTTCAAACATTTCAATATAAATTTTAACACATATTTCCAAAAAATAATGTCTCTGTAGCCTGCTTTTTATTAAGACACTCTGTACATGTATTCAATATTCTCAACATATTAGAATATATGGCCCTACTTTACCCTTAAAATTTTCAACTTCTTTAGTATTCCACCATATGTAGGTATTTTATTTAATCAACTCTCCATTGATAGACATTTAGATTGTTTTCAAAATTTTTTCCAACAAACAACTCATCTACATATCTCTGACCAACCATTTGGTTATTGTCGTGGGAGGTATTCCTAAACTCAGGATCAAAATGTTTTTTTCACTTTTAAGTTCCTTTGTTAACCATAGCTAAATTACTTTTCAGAAAAATTTTAAAGCAATAGAATTACTTTGCGCTTTTGCATGGGCCAAGGTGTAGAGATATTTGATTGCTTGCTGAAGGTCAATCAATTACTAACCAAGATTCCTGCAAGTCCACCTGTTAAAAATCTTAACAGATGTTTTGGAGCTGGAGAGACCCACTGAAATCACTCTATCGATACAAGGCTACTATTATTCTTTTATTTTACTATTTATTTATGTTGAAAGGCAGAGTTACAGAGAAGCAGAGGCAGAGGGAGATATTCCATCCACTGGCCCACTCCCCAAATGGCTGCAATAGCAGGAGCTGGGCTGATTCGAAGCCAGGAGCCAGGAGCTTCTTCCAGGTCCCCTTTGCAGGTGCAGGGGCCCAAGGACTTGGGCCATCTTCCACTGCTTTCCCAGACCATAGCAGAGAGCTGATTCAGAAGTGAAGCAGCCAGGTCTTGAACCAGCACCCATATGGGATGCTGGCACCACAGACGATGGTTTTACCCACTACACCACAGTGTCGGCCCCCAAGGCTACTATTATTATAGACAAATTGAAGAAGGAAAATATGTAATTCTTGAATCCAAGAATGTCTCTCTTCAGTCCTTAATTAAATTAATGTGTCATGTCTTCAACTTGATATGAAGTCATCCTACTAATACAATGGTATGAACTGTAGATTTTCCTTAATGGATCTACATTTTTCTGGTAATTTATCCTTTTCACCACAATTTTTTTACACCACAAATTTTAAAAACCCCACCATTTAGATCATAGTTACAATGAAGACAGCATCTCAGACCTGTTGTCTTAACATTATTTCTTTTAGAAAAGCTGGAAATGGTTTTCTTTACGTTCTTTGCAGACAGAAGATTCAGTAATAGTGTTTTTTAGAGATTTGCCTCCTTGGCATCCAGTGTGGTAATAGCAGGCTCTCCCTCATGACCACTAGGCGTCAGACTTTCCCATCTCTCCTCCAACTGTGCTGCTTACCCAGTAATTAACTCATTTGCTCAGAGTCATTAGCTCTTATCTAAGAGAGCTTCTTTGTCATCATATGAACATGGTCATTATGATGCAGAATCCCAGCAGATTTCATCAGGACTAATTCATTCTGGCTGTCTCCTAGTTATGCACTTTTCAACAGAGCTCTTCATTCAAAAGCCCAAGCTTTAAAATAAGGAAGAGGAGGAAGAAGCTAGTGACCATGCCTTTCACCATTTCCAAGAGAAGCTGCAGAATGCCACTACTTATCATTGCAATACATATGTATCTGTACCCTCATTGCTGATAATAGGATGCTTGTGGGTAGCTCTGGGCACCATTCTTTGTTCATCTAAAGGACAATGCAATCCCAAGGCTGTCATCATCACTCTCTGATTCTGTTTGTCAGGTGGGTTGGAATACATAGAATGATTTTGCTGGCATTGTGGGGTAGTGGGTTAAGCCACTGCCTGAAACGCTGGCATCTCATAGGGGCACTGGTTTGAGACCTGGCTCCTGCACTTCTTTTTTTTTTTTTTTTTTTTTTTGACAGGCAGAGTGGACAGTGAGAGAGAGACAGAGAGAAAGGTCTTCCTTTGCCGTTGGTTCACCCTCCAATGGCCGCCGCGGCCGGCGCGCTGCGGCCGGCGCACCGCGCTGATCCGATGGCAGGAGCCAGGAGCCAGGTGCTTTTCCTGGTCTCCCATGGGGTGCAGGGCCCAAGCACCTGGGCCATCCTCCACTGCACTCCCTGGCCACAGCAGAGAGCTGGCCTGGAAGAGGGGCAACCGGGACAGAATCCGGTGCCCCAACCGGGACTAGAACCCGGTGTGCCGGCGCCGCTAGGCGGAGGATTAGCCCAGTGAGCCGCGGCACCGGCCCTCCTGCACTTCTTATCCAGCTCACTGCTAATGTGCCTGGGAAAGCAGCAGAGGATGGCCCAAGTGCTTAGGTCCCTGTACCCATATGGGATGCCTGGAAGAAGCTCCAGGCTCTTGGCTTCAGCATGGCACAGCCCTGATCATTGTGGCCCTTTGGTGAGTGAACCAGCTGATGGAAGATATTCTCTCTCTCTCTCTCTCTCTCTCTCTCTCTCTCTCTCTAACTCTGCCTTCCAAATAAATAGTAAATAAATATTTTTTTTAAAAAAAGAACATAAATAGCACATCATCAACCATTTATTCAATGCTCACTATATCTAGGGCACTTTGATGGAAGTCCAGGAAAGGGTATTACATTATTCAGCCTTTTGTTACTTCAACTAAAATACTTGAGAGGAGCTACTTAGGAAGGAAGTGGTTGATTTTGGCTTATAATATAGGAGGATCATAGTCCAAGATGAGGTTGACTCCATGGGTCAGTCATCTGGTGTGGAAGGAAGATGACATTGGGGGAATACATATGGAGCGAGGAGCACATGATGAGCCAGGAAAGAGACAAGAGGCATGTTCATTCTCAACATCTGTATGTTTCTCTATGAAGTTATCATGATCCAATCACAGGCTTCCAACCTACCCATCTAACCTAATCTAATCATTTCTCAAAAGTCCCACCTTCAGACACTCTAAATGGACCAAACCTCCACCCATAATCCATCAACATTAACATTAATCCATTAACCAATATCATAAGACTTTGAAGTTTGAATAGCTGCATTAGTATGGGAAGCCAAATCATGCTTTAACTTTTTTTTAAAAATCATGATACTTTAGTTTTTTTCTTTTAAAGATTTATTTATTTATCTGAGAGGCAGAGTTACAGACAGACAGAGACAGGGAAGGAGTTCTTTGTTCCGCTGGTTCACTCCTCAAATGACTGCAATGGCTGGAGCTGGGCCAATCCACAGCCAGGAACCAGGAGCTTCTTCTGGGTCTCCCCCATGGGTGCAGGGGCCCAAGAACTTGGACCATCTTCCAGTGCTTTTTCTTGTGTTCCCAGGCCATCAGCAAGAAACTGGATCAGAAAGAGAGCAGCTGGCACCTACATGGGATGCCAGCGCCACAGGCGGAGGCTTAACCTACTACACCACAGTGCTGGCCCTGTTTTAACTTTTACAGATATTTTCATTCATTCAGTTAGTTAATTATTCAACAGATATTTACTAAACATCTGTCACATGTTGGTTATCCTGTGATGAAGAAAATAACAGTCACTATACCAGCAGTACAGCTTGTATAATAAAACATCGCCTTTGCACCACATTCAAGTGCAGGCTGCTTGATCCCTCTTGATCTTAGAAGGAGCTGTATATTAGAGAGTACAGCCATAATCCATGTCTCCTAATCAAAATAACTTTCCCATGGCAATCATGTCATCTACCTGTAGAATTAATTTCATAGTCTCATACTTCTGGCTCCTTCTTTCCCTGCCTGACATCATACAAGACATGGGAAAATTGAGACATAGAAAAACAGGGAAATTTTTTAAATTACAAAAAAAGAAAAGACAAACAAAAATCCCTCAGTCCAGGAATTACCATAATTTTCAACCACAATACAAATAATAATACTAAATACAGTGTCTTGAAGAAAGCAGTTAAAAAAATTGGAGGCTGACAAATGAAAACAGAGTGTCATTTTGTGAACTATTTTCCATGAATCTCAGCATCTTCCCTAAAATACCTCAGAGAAGGAAAACTCATCTTGGAGACAACTTCCCACCTTCTCTTCTTAGAAAAAACAATAATATTCCTTGACAGGAACTGACTGACCTGGGCAAATGCATCAATTATGATTTCCCATAGCATATGCCAAGGCTTCACAGAATTGTTCTAAGTCAACAGCCCAGTCCCTATAGCTGAGACTCACTTAGATTTACTTTGATTTTTCCAAGAAATCACCAATACTAGAGTGTGTCTCCCAAAAGAAGAAATGAATGTTTCCCCTTTGGTTATTTTGAACTTTTCTTAACACTTCCAGAATTTTTAAAAAATAATGTCTCTATAAGATATAGTTATAAAAGCAACAAAATGAATTTCCCAAGACCCATAAGAAGATAAATTTTATTTATCTGAGTTGCATCAATCTTTATATTCCCATTTTATAGACAAGGATGCATAACACTAACATATCTATGATCACAACCCACATGATACTATCAAAGGATCTTTTTATGTATGGCAATAGGCAAAACTTTAAATGAAGACAATTCAGAGCAACTGAAATTGGATGTCTTTACTTAATTCAGATAGCACAGAAGATATGCCTATTCAGTCCTTTCTTAGTCAGAAGATAGTATCCACAATTTGAAATGGAGTCCATCTTCTATCCATGACATCAGTTTAGGTAACAGGTTAGAGGTCTCATAACCACATAATAACTGGAAGGAAGTGTAATCCAAGTGGAGAAAGGAAATATGTCCATCCTTTATTTAATCTTCACATCAGCTTTTGTCACCACAAATTTATGTAAGTGATGTTTTGTGTTAATTATGAAAGTGAATTATACTCACAGAAATAACATAAAAATATGATTGGCAATGAATAAGAGTTACACATGAACTAGAACTTACTGATCTATAAACAACTCATTACTGCACAACTGTACTTTTGCATAATTTCTGTAAGCTCCCCAACCTAAGCAATCTCTTTTTTTTCTTATTTATGCCATGTTATCTTTTGATTTAAAAGGCAGTAAAATGAAAATTCTTAAAAAAAAATAGAACATCCTAGACCTACAGGCAACAATAAGCTTCCCTTTGTGACAGTTCATTCTCCCTCTTCTCAACACAGAATTTTAATAACTCAAAATTGATCTTTTTTTCTCTGCACTCTCTTTGAGCTGGTTTTTTCTTTTTTGAAGTATTATTTTTGAAACAGAAAAGCACAGTAACAACAGCAAGACAGTAACAGCAACTATAAGCATCTTCACAGGTCGAGAGTCTCAGGTCTTCCTTTTTAATTTGCCTTGCCAGACATCAAACAATTCCACTCTAGTCTTCTCCTTTTTCCTAATAAATGCTTACAGTGGTCCTGCGAGCAACATTTCTTTCCTTTTCCCACAGCTCTCAGAAAGGGAAGTGACAGCCTTATTCACCCATCCAGCCCAATGCCAAGGCCACATCTCACCTAACAGCCTTACACCTTGCTCCCTCAGGTCAGTTTAGCTCTCACATAAGTCATCTGAAAAATTGAACCGGGCAGCTTGGCTCTCGAATTCCACTCCTATGAAGATATTTTCTGAATAAGCACCCAGCAACCACATTAACTTCCATTAAAAAATAAGATATTGACATTTCCTTTAGAGATAAGCCAAGGAAAAGACTTCCAAGGGTACAAGAAAAGAGCAGTCCGAAAGCCATGTAGGTACTTTTAAAAATGTGAGCATTGAGCTATCCACAACCCTTAATTTCTCACCTACAAATCATATATTTCACTGGGAATTGTGGAATATCTTTAAATAGGAGTTTGCATCCTTATTTGTGCACCTAAGAGCTGGACTAAGATCAGAAATTTCCAGACCATACTCCCACCCAGACCCTACATTTTCCATATCTTCCCCACTTTTGTTAAGAGTGAGTGTCTCTTCTTTATTGTAGATCACATCTTTATGCAAATCTACTAGGTACTATTTGGCCTAGCTTATTGGCTCCCCTGACCATACAAGTTTCAAAACCTGAGCAGTTCATCACAATTAATTAATAACAATTATTCAAGAAATAGATTTATTTGACAACCCATTACTTTTTCTCTGGGTAACATTTGTTGAGAGTTCCCCAACATGTTTAGAGAAGTGTATTTTTCAGTCTTTTTTTTTTTAACATTTACAGAACTGTACTCAGTACAACTCTGAACTTAGTGCCATGTGGGATCACAAGAACTCAAAACCGCACACAAGCATGGCCAATGAGGTAATATGAAATACAAAATGTGTGTGTACTAGTATATGTATGTGAAGAAAGTATGTGGGCGTGGCTTTGTGGCATAGTGGATAAAGCTGCCACCTGCAATGCCAGCATCTCATCTGGGTGCTGGTTCAAGTCCTGGCTGCTCCACTTCCAGTACAACTCCAGAAAAGCAGCAGAAGATGACCCAAATGCTTGGGCCCCTGCACCCATGTGCGAGACCCAGATGAAGCTCCTGACTCCTGGCTTTGGCCTGGCCCACATCTGGCCACTGCAGCCATCTGGGGAGTGAACCAGAGAATAGAACATCTCTCTCTCTCTCTTCCTCCCTCTCTATCTCTCCTCTCTCCCTCTGTAACTCTGACTTTCTGTGTGTGTGTCTTTGTACAAGATTTTATTAAAGATCTTTACAAAGTAACATCCAGACTCAGTACAGCTGCCAAAGAAAAATATGGACCATTTCAGGTATTTGTGTGTGATCCTTGTGTAGAGGCCATGCTAATCTCTGCATCATTCCAGTTTTAGTATACATGCTGCTAAAGTGAGCACATAACTCTGACTTTCTAAAGAAAAGAGTCTCAAGTGAACATAACGAGGTGTTCTGCTGAGATAAGGTTATCTTTAAGGGATGGGGTGATGAATGGATTTTATTTTATGTTTCATTTAAAATTTTTCCCAATGAATCTGTAATATTTGTGTAAGTTATGCCTTAATGGTCCAATAGGAAAGCATCCACTCTGTGTGTGTGTGTGTAACTGCCTTTCAAATAAAGAAAATAAATCTTAAAAAAAAAAAAAAAGCAAAGCATCCAATATGGGTTAGGGAGTGCTCACTTATAGCTGAGGGGGCAACCAGGAAGCTTGTCTTGACTGCTGAGGACTTGAGAGGGTGCGAATGGAGTTGGGAATTAGGTCTGTGGACAGGAACGTATAATTAGTATTTGGAAATTCAAGTATCTCTGTTTGACAGGAGTGTGAAGTATAAGTGAGCTGGACATAGACATGAGTCTAGAAGGGGAAATTGGGAACTTACTGGAAAGACTTCTAAATGTTAGAATCAGGAGTTAGGCTTCGAGTCATCAAAGATTCTCTAAGAGAGGAGCATAAGATAAAAAGAAGTACACACTGAGGAGGATGATAGAAAAGGTTTTTAGGCTGGCTTTGGGGGATAGAAGCTAGAGGCAGGGAGACAGATGAGGAAGATGCTCTAAGCACCTAGGCCTAAACTGGCAGGGGCTAGAACTCATTAATGTGGAGGGAATGGGAAGAAAGAAGAACAGAGTGTAAGATGTCAGGAAAAGCACTTGTCTCCCATAGGAACTTACTGATAAGTTCAACAGAGAGACAGGGAAGCCTGTCTAATTTCAGCATGCGAGATGTAATAACAGTAATGAGAATGATATTCAGATGGAGTTTTCAGAATCCTCTGTATTGTGCAGGCACATATGTAAAGTGGATATGATTTGATCGTTGATGGGCTACTACATGTGAAGAACTGCACAGGAGTGGGAGAGCCAAGCTGGTCCACAGACATCACGAGAACATCAGAGCCCAGCGGAGAAGGAGTTCCTGGCTTTCAGGTCTGAAGACAATGTTCTCATCAGGTCACAGCGCAAGGTTTTCCAACCTGGGGGAAGGTCATTTTCCCCTCTAAATGCTGAACTGTACAATGCCCTGAGCACATTTAGCAGATGGAACAGTGAGGGTGGGAGGGGATTTTGGAAATACGTAATTATTTCAATAATTTGATTTTTATTGTTCCCATGAAGCATTTACAAACTAGACTTTAAACCCATTTCAACTCAGAGATGAAGGCGAACTGTGCTACCTTGATGGAAAGAGGGCTAGTCTTTGTGTAGCCTCCTTAAGAGGCTTATAAAATATTTATCCCAATGGACTGCTGGTTAAAACTAAAATTCTTAAGCTTTTCAGAAATCATCACATTCAGGTGCACATCACTTTATGTGAATCCAGCCCTAATTTTCCATTGCCTTCCCTCACAATTTCAATGTTATTTTTACCCCTTCATTTGTTGATCAAGTCCTTTAACTTGGAGACTTTTCTGTCCACCCTTTCCCTACTCCTATGATCAATTATCACTCACCTTAACTGAGGCTGATGACTTTGTCAACAAGCAGAAAAATTACTTCTTTAATATTAATTTCCATACAACAGATTTTTGTCAAATTAAAACAAGATAGATACAAAATGACTAAACTTGCAATCCCATATGGACATGAAATAACCCATGCAAAAGGACTTTCTTGATACGATATCAGTCATACACATGTGACAACTTGTGTATGAGAGAGGACCAAAAGCATAGCAAAGTTTGGGGACCTACAACCCCCACCCCTGCTGGTGCTGTGGGAACCTGGAGCTATGCAGTAAATAAAATGTGTTCCCTCAATGAGCCGCCTGTAGAAAGACTTAGAAACCAATATAAAGGTAGTTCTGGCCTTTTGAATAAATACTGAGAGTGGGTTCTCAGTGAGGGTCTTGACTTGGTATAACTAGATATAGCTATGTCAGACTTATTGGCAACATAATAGTTGAAAGAAGGTATTCTTTTGTTCTATAAAGTCAATAATTACTTCTTAGTAACTTCCTGGGTCTCTTGGGCTTTCCGAGCAAAGCCACACAATGCCACTACCTTTCATTACATATGATGGATATCTCTAGCCTCTGCCAATAGGGAGCTGGTGTGGGTGCCTGAGCACCACCCCTCATTCATCTTCAGGACAATGACATGCTGATGCATTGACAGCAAGCTCCAAATACTGTGCAAAGATAAGTTGACTATAACAGCACAAAATCAAGCAATCATTTATTGAGTGTCTACTGTATAAAGAGTACTGCACTCAAATCCCAGAAAGGGTGTTTTCAGTCAGGTTGTCAATTATTCAGCAAGTGCTTATGAACACTTTCTCCACCAGGTGTTGGGAATCTTGTGATGATGAACGCACTGGCAATATAATCCGTGTGATGCAAGAATGCTTTCACACCACACCCAAGTCCAGGCTGCTTGATCTTTCTTGCCTTAGAAAAGGCTACAGAAGTGATATTAAAGCCACTGCCTGCGTCTCCCAACCAAAGTGATTTTCCCCTAGCAGTGCATCTCATCTTTAGAACATTAGTGTCATCCTCAGCACTTCCAAGCTTCTTTCTCTCCCTATCTGACAGCAGTCCTGAGAGATAGAGACAGATAATACCCTCATCTCAGACTTGGGGAAGCTGAGTCAGAGAAAGGTGGAAGAGGTTTTCTCAAATCATGTGGAAGGACAGAGGCCAAACCAGAATTCTTGGCTCCTTGAACTCTGACTTATGGAACCTCATGAAAATGCTTTCTAACCAAGAAACAGTAAGGCAATCCGTGATCTTAAAGTTCTGTCATCTCAGTGGCATTAGAGAAAGACCAGTTATGTGGGAAGGAAAGTGAAGGATAAACAGATTAACTAAACAGTTAATCCATCAGAAATAACCCGTGGAAATTGCTTGAGGTCATTCAAAGAAGGACTCCTGGGTCAAAGAGTTTGAAGTAAACTACTAGGAAGGTATAGAAGTCTGGGTCCACCAAAACATCTCCAGTGAGAGCCTGAGGATTGGTCATCATTTTTATAGACCAACTGTGCTTAAAACATGATCAGCAATGGGAATTAATTTGTTCCTTAAACCTAGCACTTTCCCATCCTCCCTCTGGATTGACTAAATATGAAAAGCAGCTGTAATTGAAAAGGTGAGTGTGTATGATGGTCATTTCTAAGGACTATGCTCTTTGTAATTGGGGGAGGGAAGCCATATGTGTGTGAAGTGACACGTTTCCTTCATGATTGAATTGTTTCCATGGCTCAAGAGGCTCAGAGCTGGTCACAGGCAGACGTGCCCTCAATGCCTCCAGCCATCTCTGTCCTGTCCAGCTGCCAGGACTGCTTGGACAGAGATTGGAAAGTACATGGTGTTTGCTGCCCTTCAGCCATGCCTGGTGACCATGCAGTGCCCATGTCTTTCAGAGCAAGACAGGAACCTGCAGTCCCATGTGTAGTGGATGTTCTCGCGTGCAGATCCTACATTTCCCCTTGATTTAGATTGCCCAGGGGAGCAGGAATGTGACAGGCAGGGCCAGGTGAGTTTCCTGGTGGAGAGTAGTGTTAGAGAAGAGTTAAACAACAGAAATGGGGTGGCAAGCCAGAAGTCCTAGAAACTCTGGACAGCTTTACCAGATAGTCTGTTGCTAAGAGTATGTCCAGTATTTACCAATAAGCATGCTTTGGGGTTTAGGAACAATTTCTGGGAAGAGTGAAATTATACAGAACTGAACCTAGTTTTAAACACCAAAATTGCCTTTTTTTTTTTTTTTTGACAGGCAGAGTGGATAGTGAGAGAGAGAGACAGAGAGAAAGGTCTTCCTTTTTGCCGTTGGTTCACCCCCTAATGGCCACCACAGCTGGCGCGCTGCGGCCGGCACATCGCACTGATCCGATGGCAGGAGCCAGGTGCTTCTCCTGGTCTCCCATGGGGTGCAGGGTCCAAACACTTGGGCCATCCTCCACTGCCTTCCCGGGCCACAGCAGAGAGCTGGCCTGGAAGAGGGGCAACAGGACAGAATCCGGTGTGCTGGCGCCTCTAGGTGGAGGATTAGCCTATTGAGCCGTGACGCCGGCGAAAATTGCCTTTTGTTTGAATGACCAACCAGTGAATTTGTAAGTGAAAAGCATAGATAATGACATAGTTAGAATGTTTTTAAGGACATCAGGAAAATGGCCCTCCTTCCAAAATAATCATACCCCTCTTTTATCCCACCGCCATCCTACTAAGACCCCTACCCTCCCAGCATTCATGATATACTTCCTCTAAATTTCTCCTTATCTAGGCTTTTCTTTTAACAGATAAATATCTCCCAAATAGGTTTCTTGTTAACACCTTCACTCTTACTGGCCATGACCTCTTCAGCTTGCCATCAGCCCTAATTCCACAAGAGACCTCTCGGAATTTGGAAGAATGACATGAACAGGATGACCTTGGAGGAAAAGAGAGAAAAGGGGAGCAAGGTGTCCCAGAAAGGGAATCAGGGGATTCTTAACATAACACCCTTCCCTACTCCATCTAGGGCGGCCCCAACCATGTGAGGCATGAATCTGTAAAACTGGCTAAAGGAAACCTTTGTAAGCACAGAACCTCTTTCCACAGCAAGTCTTCAGGGAATTTCTGTAAGTCACTATTAGAAGGTATAATGAGCTTGAAGAAGGTGTTTAGATGATGCATATGCCATGTGTGAGCACATGTGTGCACATGTACATAAACACTTGTATGTTTGTACAACTGCTCCCTCTGAGGCGAGGTTGATCTCCCTTCAGCCTAGCTTTGCAATGGTTAGTTTTCTGTAAATAAGGACTCTAAGCAATGTGGGTATCTCACTAGATTCTTCACCATGAATGTCCTATGTGAAAATTGACCTCTGTTTGATATCTCAGCTATTTTAAAGCTACACATCTAATTCCTCAGCTCTGTTAATCTGTAAAGGCTAAAATGTCCTGGCTTCCAGGCTCTGTGGGACTTTTCTGACAAGGAAAGCTGGTGTCAGGGAATAATTAGGTTCTGTTTGAGATGGAGAGGCAAATGTCAAGAGCTTATTATCTCTGGTCACCATGTTAGACATGAAATGCTATAGAAAATAACACATATGCAGAATGTTCAAGTCAATGGGAATAATTGTGTTGGATAAAGTGAAATTAATTCGCATCTTTTCAAAGCCTCTAGGTTTTAGAGAATGGACCCCAAGTAAACCAAAAATGTACCAGATCAGTTTCTCTGTAGAGAGCTAAACTAAAAGGCTAGGTCTTGGCATAAAAACAAGTTGATTTTTAGACCCAGGTGAGAGATTTCTACCAGTGACAGCCTTCACCACACCCTTGATGATATTATATCACAGATATTACACATATCCTTCAGTCTATCTCTTTCACCTCATCTTCACAAAGATCTAAGCATTAAGTCATTAAGAACACACTCAAAGCATATCAGACTTTTGGAGAGAATGAGAGCTGACTTGTAATTTGCAATCCATTTAAGTACTCTATGAAACTCAAGAGAAACCACTATTTTAGGTCTCTGTCACATGGAGAATAAATGAATACCTCCAGATCTCAACTCCAAAGTAGTCAGCCCTTATCTGATTGAAATAAAAATGATAACATTTTAATTTTTATATGGAGACTGAAAGTTGTGGGAGTATGGAGAAGAAAAAATCTTGAGCAAACCTGAGAAAATAAGAAACCTTCAGTGTAAATGTCTATGAATGATAACATAGCACTTACGCATGGATATATCTTACCCAAGGCGGGCTGGGGTTCATTAAGTTCTTCCTTCCTTCCTTCCTTCCTTCCTTCCTTCCTTCCTTCCTTCCTTCTTTCCAAGATTTTATTTATTTATTTGACAGGCAGAATTACAGAGAGAGAGAGGGAGAGACAGAAAGGTCTTCCATCTGCTGGTTCACTCCCCCAAATGGCTGCAATGGCCAGAGCTGGGCCAATCTGAAGCCAGGTTTCCCATGTGGGTACAGGGGCCCAACCACTTGGGCCAT